CTGTTGATAGGCGGTGGTTTGCAATTCGTCAAGTCTAGTCAATAGTTATCTATATTGCTAGTTATATGCAATTTGATATTTTTTGCTAATAGAGCAGAGCCACGTTTGTTTAAGTGTAGTCCATACGGATTCAAATGCATATTACTGATATTACTGTTGTCAATAAGACCCCAGTTCTCTTGTTCGCAAAGATCTTGTATGCATTTGTTGACTTCAACTAATTTATTTTGTAATCTTGTGTCATCACTTCTAATTATTATCTGTGAGAGTGAGACACCAGTGCGGGGGTTTTCTTGTTTTGCCTGATTGCCCAGGTTTTTTAAGTTGTAAATAATTTCAGCCGGTGATTTCGTTTTGAGATCATTCGTCCCAACATGAATAATAACTTGCTTCGGTTTTAAAGCAAGTGTCGGCTTTATATAGTGAGCCATTTCGTCGGTTCTACACCCAGAAAAAGTACGAACAGTTACCTGTTTGTTTGTGCCATGACGAAGTTTTCGGACATCAACATGCTTAATCATGGAGTCACCCACAAAAGCTACATCACATTGTTGTTTCTTCGGTTGGATAGTATCACGTTGGTTGCTGGTTGGTAAGGAATTTTGCTTTGTGTCTTGGATATTTCTTAGGGTGTTTTTCAATCGTCTTTTCTTTTCGTGATCTATAGTTGGAGTCATCTTGGGAACTACGGTTTGATTATTTCCAGCGTCACCGCTCATTACTGCCTCATCGTCGTCTTCAATTTGCAAGGTAGAGTACTTATTGCTCAAATTTATATGGTGACCAACACTTTGACTTGTGGTTTTGCGGCCAGCTATTTGCCATGAGCTCCGTGTTTGTTGCGCTTGACTAGATTCATCCTTATTTGAACACATTACAGTGGCTTGCTCTTCATTCAGCAACCTAATAACAGTTAAGAGGCTTGATTTCTCACTTTCAGTATCCGTCAGCTTTGTATTTAGTTCGGTTAAAGTATCTTTACATTTTGTTATCTCTGTTTGAAGAGCCTTGTTTTCTTCTTTTAATAATCTATTTCCTTAGTAAGGTTTTCAGTTGCCGTCGGACTTTTTTGATTTTCATATATATTAACAAGTTCGTTTAGAACAACAGACGTCTCAGTTCGGTGGTTTTCGAATTGGCGCGTTAATGAATCCAAACGTTTAATGACATTTTGAATCACACTCTCTTCATTGCATGAAACGCTTTCTTCACAGGCCTGAAAACTTCCATTTGTTGTGTCGTTGTCGGATAGGCTGATAGCGCGAGAGTCCTGCAAATCTAACACATCAACTCCCGCCAAATTCGAATTTACCATGAAGTCATTAATATTCTTTAACGAAGCATTTTGCGGAGGCGTTGTTTCATCTACACCCAAATTTTCAGCATTTACCAGCAGTTGTTTTGATATAGAAGCTAGAGAATGAAGCTTTTCTTTGATTTCGTTCTCTAGATTTCCGCTCACAGTGATTGATTTTGTCGTAGGATACCAGCGAATGTCTAAGTCTTTGCTCTTAAACTGCTTCGCCTCGCCGCCAGGACAAATCCAAATGCCGTTAGCGATATTCAAAACTTCTTCGACAAATAGCTTCAACGATTCTAGCGAATCGACCCATATCAGTTTGCCCTTGTCGTTCGTTGATATGCCACGCAAAAGGCTAACTCTATAGCCTTGAGTGAAGCTCGAATTTTGCATGTTTTTGTTGGAGCAATGTGTTAATTAACATCAATCGCCTGATGATCGTACGCTGTACGTGAAACACTGTGTAGCGATGAAATAAAATTTTAAGATTGAAATTTGTTGTTTATGTCTCTTTTTATATATATATATATATATATATATATATATATATATATATATATATATATATATATATATATATATATATATATATATATATATATATATACATAGAATATATATTTTATGCTATCGAAAGAATATATATTTTTTACGGTAATCCATAATTCGAAAAATTCAAAATCAATATGCTGACCAATTATAGTGCAAGGGAGCCGAACTGTCCGGAAATGAAATGCTTAGTTTTTTCTACCAAATATATCGTCTGGTACTCAAGCTAGTTAGATTCCTCACGAAACTTTTGAGACCTATGTCAATCGTGTTGTTAATAATTTTAAGGACTTCTTTAACTATAATTATAATTATGCCTACCTGCGCCATGTGTGGAAACAATCCCTAAACGAGCAGCAACTGCAGTTTCATTTCCTACGTTAAAACCAATTTCAAAACAATCTGTTGTAAAGATTGGGTTTGCAGAAATTTCAAGAGACTCAGCCCATTGCTGTGATGTCATATTCAGAATTCTTTTTCCGAAAAACAAGCTGCGTAGAGAGGGAGCTGCCACGGGAATTTGAATATTAAATCTACCGCTCGATGCTAGGCAAATTTCAGTGACATTGGCACTCCAAAGTTGCGCATTGAATACGGTCTGATTGATTCCTTTTGCAGTCCATGCTTCACTTTCATAACCCCCATCATCCTTTAAACAATTTAAAATATTTTAATACACATTTTTACAATTACATGATCAGTATTCGAATCGTCTAAATTTTGGCGGGAAACTCGGTAACAGGTAACAGACGAAACAACCATTACCACCGCACTTGCGATAGGGTGCCTATACTTTCACTTTCCATGCCTTTGCCTAATTTGCATATGTCAAAAATATTAAGATTAAGAGTAAGACTTAGATTAAGATTAAGACTTAGATTAAGCATGCGAAAGGCAGATATTTTAGGAAAAAAA